GGGCCGTGGTCCAGAGGGCTTTATTGTGGCTGGCCTCAGGGCAGCTACCAAGGCTTGGGTCTGTAATTGTACCTTTTGTTGGAGACAGGCCTGTCGCCGTTGTTCTTGAGCTTCCTCTCGCCATTAAAAACTTTAAAGGCCATCTTTACCAGGTCGGCCATGGGGGTCTGAGGACCATCTTCAGCCTTTTTTAGTTTTTTTTTGGATATCAGGGACTGATTGGGAAATAAAATAGGTAGCCAATACGGTGGCCCCAGCGGGGGTGGTAGGGTCCAGTCTGGTATACCGGGTAAGTGTCTCTGTGAGTCGGCTAAGGAAGGCTGCGGGGTTTTCATTGGGGTCCTGTATTATTTCTTGAAGTTTGTTAAAATTTACTGATTTGTTTGAGGTTGCCCTCATGTCTACTAGTAGGCACTGGATCATTTGGTCCCGGCACTGGTGACCATTGCCTGCATGTTGGTAGTTCCAATTGGGGTCGGCCGCCAGGACAGCATTGGCGCCTACGGGCATAGTGGGGTCAGTCATGTGGGTTTGGTATGCATGTTCTCTGGCTGCGCCTGGATGCGCTCCCTCTCCTCAGGGGTGAGGATAGAGGTGAGGATTACATGGATGTCATGCCATGTGAGACTGTAGGCTTGGGCAAGGTATTGGAATTCCTTAATGTATTGGGTGGGGTCAGCCGAAAATGACCCTAGCCGATTTTCAAAGGCGGATAAGTCTTGGAGGGAGAAGGGGACCTGAACTCAAACTAGGCCTTCAGGTCCTGCCACCTCTCGGAGAGGCAAGATGGCTGCTGGGGCCTGTTCGATGGGAGGGGCCTGAGAACGAGTTCGGGATGATATGGAAGGTGAGGGCAGGATGGCTGGAGGTAGGGAGTACGGAGGGGGGCAAGGGCTGGTGGGCTGTGTGACCAGATCCTCTAACGGGTCGGAGATCAGGGAAGTTGGTGAGGTGGGGTCGTCGGGGGGTTGTGGGCGGGCAAGGAGCATGTGTGCAGAGGGGCAGGAGGAACATAGGTTGGGGCGAGACCTGAGGTCCCAAAAGGCCATGACGTAGGGTATTTCTCCCCATTTTCCAAGCCGATGGCAGAAATTGTCCAGATCGGTTAAGATTTGGTATTGTAAAGACCCCTCGGGTGGCCATTGAGAATCATTGTCTAATTTGTACTGAGGCCAGACTACAGTGCAAAGGCAGATGAGTCGGTTACGACGAAGTTCACCTTGTAAGCCCAGGAGCCGGAAGTTTTTTAACAGACATGGGGGGGGGTTTAAGAGATCGAGGTGGTTTAGACTCATTACTCGCCATTGGCGTGGCAGGGCGAGGCACCCCTCGTGCTGCAATAAGGGGCCTATTGGCGTGAGGGCCTTGCGGTGTGCAGAAGAAAGGAGACTGACTTGCGAGACGTCTCTCGTGGGTGTCAGCTATAGTTGGAGGAGGGAAGGAGGGGTTTGTCCTACTTACCGGCTCCTGTAGGCGCTTGTGAGTAGGGTTGTTGGCGTCTGGCTTGGCGAGGAGGGAGCTCAGTCAAGGGAGGCGAGCTACTACCTTCCCCCCGGGTTTCAGCACCAAATGTTAAGGTCAGGCATAAGGCAGGGTAAAGATAAGAGTCAGAAGCTAAAAAATTTTAGTAGTCAAAGGCTTTATTGGGAACTAAGATCTCAGGCGAGGTTCCGTGACTCAGGGAGAGAGAGAGAGGAGTCAGGGAGGTCGAACCCTGGTGTGGTGGGGTGGGGTTTTTAAGCTGCAGCGGTTCCGGGTTTAGGTCCGGGTGGGCCTTTTTCGCGCCAGGTCATGCTGTCGCTAGGTGATTGGTTGACCTTCAATTCGTTCTGGCCTGCTGCTCAGGGCTTTCCATTGGGTTGCGCTGGCAAGATGGCTGTCCCCTCCACTGTGGTTCCAGGGACATCCTAACAGTCATGATCTCATAGTTCATGGGTTCAAGCCCCACATCGGACTCTGTGCTGACAGCT